AAAAAAACAAAAACTGAGGTTAACAGATTTTCATGAATGCAACCAAAGATTTAAATCAGACACATCATAAATCATCCACCTCCTACTGGTCGAGGTGGATGGCTTCGCCTTCCTAAGCCTGGTTCTGCCAGAGGTTTCTTCCTGTGGAAATAGTTTTTCCTTCCCACTGTCTCCAAGTGCTCAACTCCTAATTGATTAGCTTTTCTTTCTATTACTGAAGAGTTTCCACCATACAATATAAGTCACCTTGCGGTGACTGTTGCTGTGATCTGGTGCTATATAAATAAAACTGAATTGAATTGAAATGACCTGTTTAATATTGTGTAGGTTTGCCTTTGTTCTGCTAAATTGTTCAGTCTGGGCCTGCATTCAGGGCCTCTGGGAGTCCTTACCACTGAAGTCTTTTACACACACATCCTTTGGGTGTCGTGGGGCGGGAGCTTCGTGGATCCGCGTCTATCCATACTGGCTCTGATTGGGATCAGTGGACTTGAATGAATGTCTAGTCAAGGTTCAAGGTTCTTTATTTGTCACATGCATAGTTATACAAGTATAACACACAGTGAAATGTAACCTGACACGCTCCTCGACATGTGCAAAAAAATCACCAACACCTTTTTCATGTGTTCTTTTGAACAGTTTGGAAGTGATTTGGTTTCTCACAGCAGTCTCTCAGAAGAACATTGCAACAAGTGTAAGAAGATAGTGAGCTTTATTCTGCTTACCTGAGTGTTGTAGTTGATTGATGCATGAAGTTGCATATAACATTTCTCTGATTACGCTGCAAAAGCAACAAAAACATTCAACTTCACCACAACCAGAACTGCCCCTGAGGGGTGCTGACTTGTGACCTGCTGCCATCAGTGTGTAAGTGAATGGGTGCAGACACGGGTTTCTGCTTCATCTGGGAATCTGCAGCATTTTTACATATTTATATCGACCACATCTATAGACAGTGTCCCAATTTTGACTGGGTTTACCTCACAGATAGAGATCCCTGCTGAAAACCCACAAATGAATGATCAGAAAGAGCAGCAGCTGAAATAACAGTTAAAACCAGTTGTTGCAGGTAAGACACAGGCGGTAAAAGGCCTAAAGCACCAGAAACACCACAAAAAAACAACTTCAGCCTCAGTTTGTGTATATGAGAAGTTGGAACACACAATAAATTATTGACGTGTCCCGTGTTGTCTCTTTTGCCCAGTTTCTCACTTTCTAACACACGTCGCTGAAGCGGCCTTCATATTGCGCCCTGTGGCAATAAAGTGGGTCCGCGAGCCGGATGCTGAGAAACAGTCGAGTACAGGAAGCGGCCCGATTGTGTGCTGTGGGCGTCTTGTTTTTGGATCCTGGGAAAAACAGAGCGGGGGACAGAACTGGACAACCCCGATGAGAATCCAGGACGCTAGGCGAAGTTGTGTGTGTGGGTGTGTGTGTCGATGTCACATATTAACTTTGCGAAAAAGCATTTGGCAAGCTGGCGCCCACGTACGTGCGCGAGAGCACGCAAACTTGTGTTTGCCGTCGCCGTTTCCGAGGCTCTGGCGCGTTCGTGAGTCGCCGCCGAGTGTGTGAAACTGAAGCGCCGTTTGTGTGTCTGTGTCATCGCTGAATGTGTGAAACGGGGCGGAGAGCCCGACTAAAACGTTTGTGTGTGGCTTTCCTGGCTGCTGCGTGTTTGTCATAGTTGCTGTGAAAGTGTGTGTGTGTGTGTCAGTCCAGTGAATGTGTGAAACAGGGCGGAGAGGGAGTCAAAGTTTGTGCTCGCCTTTGATGTGTGTTTGTTGTTGTTGAGTGTGTGAAAGTTGGTGGAAAGTGTGTGTTTGTATTTTTGTGTGTGTGTGTGTGACAGCGGATGACGGATGGGCCGGCAGGACGGAGCAGGGGACGATGAATGAGGTGACAGACAGAGACGGATAGCCCTTTATCCCTCCGTCACAATCCCTCTTTCTCTCTCCCTCTCTTCTCTTTCTCCGCCTGTCGGGATGATGCAGTGCCTCTTGTCCTCTCGCTCGGAGGAGGAGAAGGAAGGGGGGAAGATGGGGAGAATGAGAAAAGAAAAAATTGCATTCATCCGGCATTGATGTTTACTTCAGCTACCCCCCCTCCTTCTTCTCTCTTCTCTCCTCCGCTCTTTCCCCATTTTGCTCCCACTGCCCGCTACCTCGTCCTCTTCCTTCAGCTCCATCCTCCTCCTCCTCCTCCTTTGTCAGTGATCAGAATCAGTCGACTCTTTTAGCGTTATTCAGCTCCTTCGCTCTTTTATATCTCTCTCCTCCTTTGTTTTTCCTCACCATTCTTCTTATATCAAAAGAAAGAGCATTCCTTTCCCCCCCAAAGCTCTGAACGAGCTTTCATACGTGACGTCGGTGCGTACACATCTGCCCGAGCGCATCTTTTCTTGTGTGTTTGTGCGAGGGTCGATTTTTCATTTTCCTGTGTCGACTTTCGTATGTTGGCGCTCTGTGAGTGTGTGCGGGTCTTTGTGCAATATGTCCGTGTGTGTTTGTGTGTGTGACCTGATTTTTGAATGGCCGATAAATCACGCTGACGGGTCCGTTTGTTGGGTGGTCGGGTCCCGGTGTTCTGGAAGGATCCGGGGTCCTGGGACAGGGCTGAGACAGGAGTTCCCCCAGGACACACACACTTATGCACTTTTAGATACTTGGATGGACACACACACACACCGAGCGCGTACCATCGATGTATACGGGCAGCTCAGACATATGTCATACCTGCAAAAAAGTTTTTTTAACACCATTAAGCATTTTCTTAAAAGTACAGCCTGTTTTTAACTCAGTATCTGCATTTTGGAGCAGATAGCCACTGTGAGGATTGGGGAAAAAGGCCATGTGGGACAAAAGACTTACAAGTCTCCATGTAAAGATATAACAGACGTACATGTATAAACTTTTTGTCCAATCAGAGAAGAAGGAAGAAGGAGGATCCCTGTCAAGGTGCTGTCGACTGTCAAAATTTAGCTGGAAGCAATAATCTTATATGCTCTATCAAGTGTTTTCAGCTGGCCCTTTTTTAAATAAATCAGTAATAAGCATTTGGGATTTTTCAATAGTCAGTGCTGCAGGCACATTTCAGTCAATACCCCCTAAAATTAAACGGTATCCTTACTGATTCCTGAAGGCAGGAGGTCTCGAGTTACTTGTGTTTGCTCAGAAATACGTCCTTTTTTTATTGTGACAAAATGAAGAGAGAAACATGAGAAAAGTAAAGTTTTTCTATTCTTTATACAGTGCAAATTCAAACATAAGACCCAGGGTTCCAAAATTGACCTGGCAAAGACTCTGCCCATTTGACAGCTTGAGAAAAGGATTCCAAAGGTCCTAAACTTTTTTGTGCATTTTCATGTGTCTGAAAGCTCCTGTAAGTGTGTTCGTCCTTTTCTTCTTCTTCTTCCTGCTGCTCCCTTTAGAGGTCACAAAATCGGGTCATCTGACTCCATCCCTCCCTATCCCTGCTATACTCCCAGGTCACTCCAACCCTCTGCATGTTTTCCTGCACTACATCCATGAATTTTCTCTGTGGTCTTCCTCTTGCCTGGCTCTTCCATATTCAACACCCTTTGCCCAATATATCGACAATCCGCCCTCTGTAGATGTCTCTTGAAACTTTGATATTTCAGCCACAAAGATGGTGATTTCTACCCCCCACTTCTGGCAAAACCCTGATGTTTGTGTGATCCTGCAGCTGCTAGTGTACATGCAAAGTTGGACACAATGACGTTAGTTAGGCCCTTAGCCTCCCCCTGGAGCGTAGGCCATCCACTGCTGCCTGCCAGCGCTTCGCTGTGAGTTTGTCATCGATGCTTCTGTAGCAGTTAGCTGTTTATAGAGTGCGGTTGTTGGTCCCATGCCCAACCGTCCTACTCTCTCATCCTGGACCTGGGACAAGGCAGTGGTGGAGTTTTCCCAAAGATTTGGGTTGATAAGGTTGATTTTTGTTGGGTGCATTGCCTTCTTTAAGCAGCTATGCATCAAATTAACTTAAACAAAGAAAGAAACTGTCACTTTTAGTATTCAGAATTTGCCAACTTTGAGTCCCACAGTGAAACCACTGCAGGCTCCAAACAAGACAAGTTCATGCTTTTATCTGCAAAATCACCAAAAAAAAAAGAAAAGGAAAAAAAGGGCAGTGTCACACCAGCCAGAATTCACATTTTCATGGCACACTACTCAAGGCTGTCTAGAAAAAGGCTGATTCACT